GAGCTCATGGCAAAGCCCCTCCTGGAACCCAAGGGCTGGGTGAGCTGGAATGGCCAGAGCTGGCCAGGGTGGGCACGTTGGCATGGCTGAGGGGGCCAAGAGGCCGTTCCCGACGCATGTTCTCCTCCCCAACAGATCGCTCGATGAGCAGCTCGCTCTCCGCCTCCCAGCTCCACACTGTCAGCATGAGGGACCCGCTGAACAGGGTGCTAGGTAATGGCGGGGCCGGATCTCAGTGGGGGTACCCAGCGGCGAGGCCTGGCCGTGGGGTCAGATCCAACCGTGCCGAGACACTGGCGGGGACCTGTCCCCTGTGCAGGAGGCTTGGGCCACCCCCAGCCTCCCTGAACTGGCCTGGCTTTCGATATTTCCCTGTCTCCACAGCAAACCTCTTCCTGCTCATCTCTTCCATCCTGGGGGCCAAGACGGCCGGCACCCACACCCAGTTTGTCCAGTGGTTCATGGAGGAGTGCGTGGACTGCCTGGAGCAGGGCAGCCGCGGCAGCATCCTCCAGTTCATGCCCTTCACCATGGTGAGTCCCGCGGCCGTGACATCCTTCTCCCTGGGGTGCTGGTCCCACGGGACAGACAGGCACTTCCAGGGGAGTCCCGCTGCCCGGCTCTCGTGTCTCTAGCGCTGTTGTGAGTCAGCTGTGTTTCTCCTCTCTCCGGGCAGGTTTCGGAGCTGGTGAAAGTGTCCACCATGTCCAGTCCCAAAATTGTCCTGGCCATCACGGATCTCAGCCTGCCCTTGGGCCGCCGTGTCGCTGCCAAGGCCATCGCTGCGCTGTGAGTGGGGCACCTCCCTTCTGCTGCGCAGGAGAGGGCTGCTGGGCAGCCGCTGGGAACTCCACGAGAACCTGGATGCTGGGGCTGGGACTGGGGTGCCTGGGACGGCCTCTCTGTCGCTGTGGGCTTGGCCTGGCCCTGCCCGGGGGGCTGCTTCCCTCTGCCTTCGGCCTCCCAGAGGCATCCCCTTGCTGCCTCGCGATGGGCTTTCAGAGACTGAGACAAACCCCCTGCTTTTTTTTCTATAATTAATTCAGTCCTTTTGTAGAACCAGGCTTTGCTTCATTTCTGGTTGGTTTCCTGACTGCAGCCCAGGGCCCTGGGGCTCCCCAAACCCCTCATCTCAGGGTGAGCTTGATGGTGGGGGTGATGGGAGAGTAGGTGGCCAAGACCTGCGCTGGGCAGGGGAGGGAAATCACACTCGCTCTGTCCCTAACCCGCCTGCCCTGACCCCGGAGAAGCCCGGGAGGGCGGTGGGCTGCCCGTCATGCTCCGTTTGGGGAGTGGGTGCCTGCGGCCGGCCAGCTGCAGATGTGCGGCTGGGTGGAGCGGTGATGCTTTCCTGCTGTGCTGTAAGCTGCAAGCAAATTCTTGTTGGAAATTCCTCCACGTGAGCATGAGTTCACCCCGCGTCCCTGGCTGTGAGCAGGGCACCCAGCGGCCGGTGAGTAACTGCGGCCTCGCCAGCACCACGCCGGCCTCGTGCTGGGAGAGGCTCCTCCGCGGGGCTGTCCCGGCGCCCAGTCAGCTGCTTCGGCGGTGAATCCACCTGTAACTGTCACGAAACCCCGACCCTGAGGGGGTGGCAGGGCCGGGACGGCTTCGCCTCTGCTCCTTTCATTTATGTTTTCTGCTTGACTCATGAGAAAGGGGGAAGCGGTGCCTGGGGTAGCCGGGTGCCAGCCTTCCCCTCGGGCTGCCTCGGCTCAGAGCCTGGTCCCTGCCGCATCCCCGGGGCTGGGCTGTGCCTCCTACCCCCCCTTGGCATTAGCGGGGTTCGCAGCCCCTGTTCTGGGGGCTCCAAAGCGAGTGCTTTGGTGGTGCCGGGGGAGAGGCAGCGCGGGGAGGCCCCAGAGCTGTGCTGCAGGGTTTGGGTCAATGCTGGTCAATGCTGGCTGGGGAAAAGGCAGCCGGATGGTGACTCAGGGCCTGCCTGACCCCTGCCTGCTCCTCGGGATGATCTCAGCTCTTGGCTGCTCACAGGCTTTGCTGGAGGGAGAGACCCCAATGTGGTTGGCGGAGGAGCCTTGCCGTGCTCGGGGTGGCTGCAGGTGCTTGTCCGGGGGCCCAGGGAGCGGTTGGTCCTTGGCTATCGCACACCCCGAGCATCCTGCCCCTTCCCCCTGCCTCCCATGAGTCCAGCCCCGAGCTGGCACACACCGGCCCCCGGTACGAGGGCAGACGGAAAGCGGGTCGCAGGGCTAGGTGGAGCGGCTAGCGGAGCTGCAGCACGCACCGGGGTGGGACGCGGGGTGGAGGGCGAGCGGGGCGAGGGCTGCCCCCCCGGAAGGCTCGGGGCCAGCGCCGCTCCCCACCGGGCCTGACTCGGGCATGAGTCCTGCGCTGAGCTGGCACTGACCTGCCCAGGCACCTCTGCCCCGCTCTGGCGGCAGCGCCTGCTCGCCCAGGGGCAGCTCTTTACCGTTAGCTCAGAGCAAAGAGCAGGACCCGGTGCTCTCGGCCTTCCCACCTCTGTCAATATTTGCCGGTGGCAGCCCCACACTTGGCATTGGTACCCGGCACTTCACCTTCCAGGAAAGGGCTGGAGCGGGAAAGGGGTTTCCTGTAAATGCTGATAAGCCGAGGGAGGAAGGAGCAATGGCTCTCGCTGGTTGCTCTCCTGGGAGCCGCTGCAGGCAGGGTGTGTGGCCAAACGAGCACGGGCAGCGGTGGCTTCCCTGCGGCAGAATGGCGGCGATGGTCCTGGGCGGGGCGGGGGGTGGGGGGGGGGGCGCCGGCGCCCCGGGGCTGGGAAATTGGGGGAAGGCAGGAACAGGGACCTCCTGGCGCCCATCGAGGCTCGGCTCCGTCTCCGCCGTGGCAGGGCTGGGCGCAATGCGGGGATGCCGGCGGTCACAGGACGTGAGCGCAGGACCAGTGGGAGGAAGCGGGGCTGGTGCAAGCCTGGGAACGCAGGGACAGCCCGCAGTCGCCAGACACCCACGGGGGAGCGGGGAGAGGCCGTGGGCCGGCTGGGGACGGCCGTGGGGGCTTGCCAGGGCGAGGGGAGATGCCCAGGTCTCCTGGCTCTGCTGGTTTCACTCGGGCACATCCGTTTGTCCGTCCACCTTGCCTTTCTCACTGCTGGAAGTCCCGTCCCATCGTGGCGGCTCCGGGAGGGCTCCAGGCGTGTCCCCGGGCAGCTCTGGAGCAGATTCCCCTCGCGGCAGCAGCAAAAGAGGGATGGCCGTGCCCCCCCCCCCCCACCCCCCCCACCCC